ACATACTATCGTTTATCTTAAGCGTCTTTCATATTTGACAACGCTCTATGACCTCTTTCATTATACTTCGTATACCATCCACATCCTCATACTTAAAGGGAAACATTGATTCCATCATAACAACTTGGAATTCGACTCTATGAGTAAACACATGAGTGCGCCGATTCTGGACATATACCATTTCTTAATAGGCTCACAAGACTTATAATATGAAGGCAACACATTCATCAGCTCTAGACACTCATTGTCTATATAAGAAACAAACAACACACGTCGTGCCATAGCGACGAGTCAAAGAATAGCTCTACATACCTTGATTTAATCTCCAAATGACCGTAACGAGTCAATTTTTCCAATATACAATAAACCTGTTAAAACGGGCTAATATCAACATAACTATAGCCCAACCAAATATTACAACTATACGACCATATAGTCAAGCAATCAAAGAGCGACGAGCTCCCGATGCTCTATATATACAATGGTGCACTCCAACCCGACCTCCTTTTAATAACTAACAAGCTCTATACAAGTTACAAACCCCTACCATCTCCATACCACAAGAATACAACAGTAACCTCCTTATAAACAACTATTATAACTTGAACTCACGATTTTCGATCACTATCCCGTGAGTTCTTAACAAATACATATCTTAATCGCTCGTAGAAGATCGTAGACGATGGATCAGACTTGGATCACCTTCTTTAAAGCTTTCCGACACCTTACTTCATTACAAGGTAATCTTCGGCTTGCTAAGATTGGGAGGAAACCGATGTTATAACCATGAAATCGATGGAGGAAGATAACAATCTTTGATCTTAGAGGGAGGAGGAGAACGTGAACTAAATTGATGTACGTTGATATAGAGATGAAGACGATAATGTTACTGCATACGGGTCTTGTATAATTCAACAACTCTTCCTTTCCAAAAGCCTTAGCTATTAACTCTCAAGAAGACATATCAACAAACAAAATGATGAGTCACATGGGTTATAAGCATATAACGGTGGGTCATTAATTCAATTAAAGAAAAGAGACTTTGATCCTATCCACAAGGCTGATTGACTCATCTAATAATTTTTATTAATATAAGAATATATAGATGTCTAATTGAATAGACATTATCACGTGAGCTAGCATAGATAATGTGAAGAAAAATTAGAAATCTTCTCCTTATCCTAAAGTACTTCTATTAAAATATTAATAAATCATGGTACTATATAAAATTAATACAAACACTAACATTTCATTAAAATATCCATGTAAATATATATATATATATATATATATATATATATTTTATCAACTTCTAATTTTTTCTAATTTCATGTAAAGAGTACAAATTTTCGTACACTTTATTCTCGAAACGGTAAAAACATAACCTTTTTTTTCTTGTGAGAAACTAATTTCTATCTTTACAATAAAGAAAATCTCATTTATATCATGTGTATAACTTAAAGTATATCCGGAAGTAGTAATATTGATAACTATATAAAATCATATTTATCAAACTTTTTACAAAAATGTTTCAGTTAAAAGAAATACCATATCAAAATGTATCCAACGATATCAAGGTTGTCAAACTTACGGTGTCTTACAATAGTACTGTCACAAATCCTCTATAACCTCATGAATGACCTTAATCCCTTCAAGATCATATGGATTTACTACGATGCATCCTAATGCCAATGTACGGGATGTTACACTATTAATCCTACAAGTAAGAGAAGGATACGCTCGCGACTACGTACTAGTCTTCTACCCCAATTCTCGATCTCCACACCTTTTTATTAAGAGTCATGTCCTCGATAAGCTGAAGATGTGCCATATCTTGCCTTATGACCTCTCCCCAATACTTTTTAGGCCTACATATGCCCCTCCTCAGACTCACCATGACTAACCTCTCACACCTCCTCACTGAGGCATCTGGGCATCTCCTTTTTACATGTCCAAATCATCTCAACCTCGCTTCCATACAACTTGTCTACCATGGGGGCCACTCCCATCTTGTCCCAAATATTTTCATGTCTGATATGATCTTTCTTAGTATGCCCACACATCCATCTCACCATCCCCATCTCCGATACTTGTAACTTTTGGACATGAGACCTTTTGATTGGCCAACACTTCACTCCATACGTCATAGTCGGCCTAACAACTACTCTATATAACTTACCTTTAAGTCTAAGTGGCATATTTTTATCACATAGAACACCGGAAGCGAGCCTCTATTTCATCCATCCGGCCCCAATACAATGAGTCACATCCTCGTTAATTCCCCATTGCCTTGGATTATAGACGCAAGATACTTGAAACTCTCTCTTTTTGAAATTACTTATGTATCAAGCCGCACTTCTACGTCTGCTTCGTTAGTTACACCACTGATCCTGCACTCCAGGTACTCTGTCTTAGTCCTGCTTAGCTGTGAAACTCTTAGACTCCAGGGTCTGTTTCCAAACCTCCAACCTAGTGTTAACGCTGCTCCTCGTCTCGTCAACTAATATTATATCATCTGCAAATAGCATGCATCAAGGCACCACCCCTTGGATATATCTAGTCAATTACCCTTATTTCTCCTATTGATATTTCTTCGTTGCTCATCTGCTGTCTTTTGTGATCAATTATTAATTGCTTAATTTTTAGTAGTTAATCGTAGTAATAGTCATCAAAGCAAGTGTTAATTTTTCTGGATAGTAATCAATTGAAGATTATTCGAACACTGTTTAAATCCAATCCTTGTGGAGACGATAATTAAACTATACTATCTTTGACTAGCGAGCAATAATTTTGTGTTGTGTTTTCGCTCGTCAGTCGCTCTTCCCCTGCTCATTTTACGCATTACCCTTTCAACCTCCTCGACTTTGATATGCCTACAATATACAAAGTCCCGCGATCGTAATTATTATAATAATTTATTGATTTTCTTTACCATATGCTTGGTGAGGCTCCTTTGCTCGGCTCTATTTGCATTCATTTGAAGAATCAATTGGTAGTGTGGACCATTTATTCTGCTTTCGATGCTTCAATCGGTTGATCTATATCCAAAACAAGGATATTAGTGGAGACCTAAGGGTGCGGGCTCTTTTACTTCAAAATTATTCCATACACCTACCTACTATCAACTTGGACCCAACGGTGTTCCACTACCATTTATTAGTTACTGGTCATATAATATGTGGCTTTTAGTCTATAGTCTATACATGATAAGATATAGTCAATAAAACAATTTTAAATTTTTTACGTATGCTAGTAAGCGATAACAAATACCTCACGGAAGCTAACCAAATTGATACCACATAAAAGATAATTCTAAAAACATATATAACATGACACCAGTAATATTAAACGCTCTTTTTTGGATCGACACATTCACTTAGCTACGTGACCAATACTTAGGAGTTTTAGCTGTTCATCTTACTCTCGTCCTTAATTTTCTTGAAGTCAGATAGCTTTCTCTTCTAGAATTTAGTTGGGTTCCGTCCATTTTTCCCCCTCCTTCTGATCTTATCAGGCTTAAAGCTCAAATTCTTTTTGTCACAAAAAAAAAAAACTCTTGTGCTCCACTTGAAAAGCAACATCAGCCAAAAAAAAAAAAAAAAAAAAAAANTGGGGCCATTGTGCTATTATTTTTACAAACAAAAAAGGCAAAAAAAAAAAAAAAAAAAAAAAAAAAAAAAATTAAAAATTGTGTTGCCACTGTCCTTCTTGTGCTCTCAAATTGTAGGAAAGGCCTGGACTTTTTTCTTTTTTTTTTTGATTTTTCATCCGATGTTCGGTACCCACATTGAGGCCCGACTAAATCCGGATTCACGCCGGAAAGTACCACATTAGGGGGTAAAACGCTCCCTAACAAAGGCGACTCTATACCCAAGGACTCGAATTTGAGACCTCTGGTTAAGGATGAAGGGATACTTACTACTTAACCACAACCCTTATTGGAATAAGTTGGCCAACACACTCCTAAGCTAATCTAATTATGCTAGGGTGACACTAGAATCATTATGTTCCTTATAAGAGTCAAACTTGATTGTCAGTTGTATAAGATAAGTTTATAAAAGTGCTCTAATGTTTTCATAATAGTTTTTATATGTTATTTATAGAATATGTTCGCATTTAAGAAAGAGACCAATAATCATGAAATTTACGATAATGCCTCAAGTAAAGATTTCATGCATTTTGGCTTTGAATATCTCATATGCCAGGTCGTGTTAACACGATCTTTTAAATAATCCTAATTGCAAATTACATTTTGATACCTTACCAATTATCGTATTACTCCCTTACGTACCATATTTTATGGCTCTATGTGTCATTGTCATTGTCGTTAATCATCCTCATTTAGGTCAATAATGTTATTTTTGGAAGCTATATCATGTTATATGAAAAGATTATGCCGAGTAGTCTTATCCAAATCAATTTTCATAACGATTTTATATTTAGGGTGTGTTCGGATACAAAATTAATATGTACCAATAATACGGGCATAAAAAACAAATAGGATTTGATATTTCTTTAACTAGGAAATGGATTGTTATCACAACCTAAATATCAAATTAATCGGTAAAATCACCAACAATAAAGCATAAAATAAAAGGATTCGGTGTTGTTTTCAATAGGAAATGGAATTATTTTCACAATCTAAATACCAAATTAACTAGTAAAGGTAAATACTTACTTAGTGTATGGTATTTTCATCTAATCAAGAACTTTAACATTAACAATTAAAATTAAAGTAAGAATATATATGATTAATGATAAATTTGTGTATAAAAGACATGCATGTCTTGAATTTATAAACATACAAATAAATTTTTATTACTAATAAAAAAGATTTATAAGAGGCCAAACTGATTAAGAAAAGGGAAAGTCATGTGCAAAAGATTAACTTTCCTCCACTTAAAAATCTAGGAATAACTTCTGCAATTTCTTTTTATAACTTTTAAACTTCTCATACTCACATCTATTAGTAGGCAATTTGATTATATGACCAATTTTTCGAGTTTCCATATTTGGTTTGATCTATGTCAAGAATAGTCAACGTCATCCGTTCTTATTAGGTCCTCTATCTAAATCCCCATAAAGGTGGAGTAAAAAAGAAAAGCAAGAAGCTTCTCCATTATCATATAAATTGAGGAACCAGACAATAAGAACATTAAAGTAAGTTTATTCTAAAATGGGGTCTAATTCTATAATGTTCAGATTCCCATGTTAATAAACCTTAAGTTGAAAAATCCAAATGTTCTTAGCCAAAAACCTACCAAACAAAAAGACACAACTTATACACTCCACCATTTGTTATTCAAAATAAACATTATATGATCAACAATAATTAGACTCGTTTCTGAAGCTCCAAATTCCAAGAAAAGTATGGTCAATTTGAAGTCTTGGTTTCTACTTGCAATTCTTTATGTGTTTCTATGTACAGCATCATCAGCAACAGTGGAATTAGATGCTATAGAATCTGTGCTAAGGCGTTTGCACAGCAAACAGGCACCACCAATAGTGCAAGAATCTGCAGCTAAGGGTGTTTTGCAGAGGCTACTTCCTGCCCATTTGCACAGCTTTGAATTCAAGATTGTTTCCAAGGTACTGAACAATTGTCTCCTTGGATTTTCAAATTATTGGTCTCTCCCATTTATTCCCTTTTTGTTTAGGAATTGGTAATTCATTATGTCTGTAACTTGAAGTTTACTGCTTTTCTTGGTTTAATCCATAAATGCTCAAGATTGTTGAAAAAATATCATTTTTTAAAGAATCACTTGACTGTTTTAGTTGTAACCACACATGGCATCAGTATATGTCCTTTGTGTGAACTATTAATTGGTTCACAAATAAGTTCAAAACCACCGGCACAAATATTTTGTGATAAAATAATTATTCTATTATTACACTTGTTAGTACCATCAGAATTGGAATTGGTAAATGATCCTTACTTATATGATCACTGTGTATATAGTATACAATATCTTTGCTTGAATAAGTATAAGGTAAGAAATTGTATTTAAGTGGCTTTTCTTAATTTTTCTTTTCTCTAATCTAATGATGTTTCAAGTATCATCTTAGGCCGGTGTAAGTTAGGATCATTTATTTCCTATATTTTTTACTATAGCTGCATTTCATTCTCGCCAAATTGACTTGGTAGTTGACAATTTGCAATTATACATGACATTTTGTATGTAAATGTAGGATCTTTGTGGTGGAAGAAGCTGCTTTCGTATAACCAATTACAAGAGTTCAAGCAGAAATTCACCTGAGATATTGTATGGTAACAAATGGTTTCAAGGATCTCGCTATGTTACACTTTTTGATGTCTATTGCTCTCTGATTGCGAAAAGTGTTCTTTTTACTGTAGAAAATTTGTGTTTTCCTTTAAGCAGGCAATGACTGTTGATACTCCTAAATTTACTTCTTCCAGCTGCACATTGTTTTATTGATTATTGTTTGGGTTAAATCCTTGGTTCATACTATTGCCAACTTTGCCGCCATGCTAGGTGGCCGCTGATTTTCTGCAAAGTCTGACTTGTTTCGGGCAAGTTTCTCGGCGAAGTTCTTTAACAGATTAGTTTGTTAATGTCAATTGGCACTCTTCATAATTACTACGAGCTTTTGAACATGATACATGTATGTCTTAAGGGTTGACAGTTGACTGTCGTAGCCTCTTTTGGCACCTGTAGTCCAGATTTTCTTGTCAAATTAGAAGACAAAATTAAAATAGTTAAAACTTAGTTATCCAGTGAGCAGATACAGTTGAACATGTTGTTACTGCACCTCTGCTTTTAAATTAGGTGATGAGTCTATCTTTGATTTGATTTCTCTTAGGATTCAAGGAACTACAGCCGTTGAAATCACATCGGGGTTACACTGGTATTTAAAGTATAGGTGTGGTGCTCATATTTCATGGGACAAGACAGGCGGTGTTCAGTTAGCTTCAGTTCCCAAGCCAGGATCACTGCCTCTTGTAGAAGCAGATGGAGTGACGATCCAACGGCC